ACGAGAGTTCGGAAGCTAAAGGATGCAGAGCGGCGCTATGCCGCCCATGAGAAAGAATTATTGGCTGTCGTCCACTGTTTGCGCCTTTGGAGGCACTATCTGCTGGGAACTCCGTTCGTGGTCAAGACAGACAACACAACTGTCAGCCATTTCATGACCCAGCCGAAGCTGAACGGTCGACAGGCCAGGTGGCAGGAACTCCTAGCTGAATTCCACTTCAACTTGGAGTATCGCAGTGGAAAGACCAATCATGTTGCTGATGTGCTCAGTCGGAGAGCTGATCTAGCATCAGTGTGCCTACTCGCCACCCTAAGGGGGAGCGAAGTAGCCACATCCATCAATGACCAGATACAGGATCTGCTCATCAAGGATCATGATGCTCAGTATTTGGTTGATTTAGTAGGACAGGGCAAGACTCGCCAGTTCTACATGGAAGATGGTTTTCTGAAAGTGAAAGGGAACCGACTTTATGTTCCTAAAGGAGGAGATTTGCGGAGGGCTCTTCTAGCAGAATGTCATGATACTCTGTAGGCCGGCCATCCCGGTGAAGAACGCACCACGGCGTTACTTCGTCGTGCCTATTATTGGCCTCAAATGGCCGATGATGTCGCTCAGTATGTGAAGACTTGTCTAGTATGCCAGAAGGACACGTCGGACCGCTTGACACAAGCGGGACTCTTGGAACCACTTGCTGTCCCAAAAAGACCTTGGGAAAGCGTTTCCCTGGATTTTATCACCGGATTGCCCAAGGTCGGAGATCGCACAACTATCTTGGTTGTGGTGGACCGGTTTTCCAAGTATGCCACCTTTATTGCAGCCCCGCAATATATATCAGCAGATGATACAGCTCGACTCTTCTTCTCTCATGTCGTCAAATATTGGGGCCTGCCCAAAGACATTGTTAGTGACCGCGACTCACGCTTCATTAGCAACTTTTGGACCCAACTCTTCAAGTGCCTTGGGTCAAAATTGAGTCACAGCTCAAGTTTTCATCCATAATCTGATGGCCAGACGGAGCGGTTCAATGGTATGTTGTAGGAATATCTCCGCCACTTTGTAACCGGATCGCAGAAGAATTGGGTGAAGCTTCTGGATGCTGCTCAACTGTGTTTCAATTCACAAAAGAGCTCTAGTACCAACAAAAGCGCTTTTGAAATTGTTACCAGACAGCAACCGCTACTCCCACACACTGTGAATGCACCAAACACAGCTAAATCTCCTCGAGCTACCAGCTTCTCAAAAGAGTGGAGCGGAATTTGGAGATAGTGCGGAGCTACCTTGTCAAAGCCCAAAAGCGGATGAAGAGGCATACTGATCAGAATCGTCGCTTTGTTGAATATCAAGTAGGAGACAAAGTGATGGTCAAAATTCCAAAGCGGTACTTATTTGCAGGGGTCCATGACCCTCGCCTATTGCAAAAATACATTGGACCCTTGTCCATTGAAAGGCGCATTGGGAAAGTTGCATATCGGGTGGATACCCCAGCTTGGTGGAAAATTCATCCTGTCTTCCATGTCAGCCTCCTGAAACCTTTTCGGGAAGACACGGAGGATCCTTCAAGGAGCCAACTTACAATACCCAGTATTCGAGGTCCCAATTCAACCGGGAAAAGGCGTGTTGAAGCTATCCTTGATGATAGAGTGATTCATGCCTCAAGGAAAGATCACCAAGAGTTCTTGGTGAAATGGCAGGGCTGTGATGCAGAAGAGAACACTTGGGAGAGGGGAACAAACCTCAAAGCCTACAAGAGCCTCATTGAAGATTATTTTGCAAGTAAGGCGCCGAGGACGTCGCCAACTCAGGTGGGGGAGAATGTCATGGGCGGCTTTCCAGCCATGCCCCATGACCCCTTGGGCGCGCCCCGTGGCGTCCTAGCAAGCCTCCCAATGCCTAGCGCCACGGACGGCCCCGTGGTCTTGGCCGCGCCAAGTGACAAGCGCGTAGGTGCCTCTGTCGCCCCACCGATATCCCTCGCCAGCGCCAAACCGCAAGCAGATGCCAATAGCGCCGCGTGCGCAGACAATGCCGCGCGCGCAGACCGTGATACCAAAGACGCTGCTGCTGACAACGGACCTGCTGCTGCCTTATAGAAAATTAAGTCATTTTCATTGTAAATATAGAGTAGTTTTATTTCATGTACTTCCATTATGTTTCTCTAGCTTAATCAAGTCTAGTCGTGTAGCTTTGGATTATTTTTTTTAAGTACTATTAGGGGGGATCAAGCAATCAAAACTTTCTAGCAAGCAAGCAATTCTCTGTACTGGTGTCTCTCCCCCTCGACACCGCGTTGCTTTTCTGTAATAGCTTTCATTAATGCAATCAAGCTTTCTTTCATTCTGAATTCTCATTTTGTTCTCTCAATTGTTCTTGACATTGGTTTTTCCGTACGGCACTGACGATCTAGTCTAGCGTACGGCGGGGACCTCAGTCAGTAACTGCACATACATCAGTTGCTTAGCCTTACGTCGCCCTTTCAAAGAATCTCAGGAAGGCGCCGCGTAACATTTCTCATGTAACAACTAACGCCTGAGTCTATATAATCCGATTCCATATCACTCTCTTCCACGAAAATATTCATATGAAATTGGCGGGTTATAGAGTATAAAGATAATGATCACATTTGACAACAATCAGTATAAGTCTTAGCCTAGTAGATACGTACAAATTTTAGCTACAATTGAAATAGACTTTTAATGTTGATGTTCTGTAATTAGAATGAAATATTACTCCTATATAATTAAAAAAAATTAACGAGAAGGATATAAATATAAATCACGTGAAAAAAAGAAGCCGTCTAAAATGCTCGGAGTATCGAATTTATGTAACCTTAACAAATATAAATATGATACAATCTTAAATTCATGCAAACATATCAAATGAATATTGTACGATCAGATAAAAATATTCATACTGGCAATATTACTAATCACATACCTACATAAAATTTATATTGTTACTCGATATATAAGATAATGTAGTTCTGAAATTATAAGTCTAGATATAAAATAAATTCTATATACAAGAAAATATAGTTTAATTTAGTAAAATTTAAATGTGTTTAATTAATTACCACAAGAATCAAAACAAATATTTACTTATAATTGGGGAATTTAAAAAATATATAAAAATAGGACGATTCACGAATCCCGAAGTAACAAACGTCTGATTCTGTTCTATATATTCTTCTTCATTACTGACAGTCACATATGAGTGTAAAATATTTCCTCCTTCCCAAGTCAAAAAAAAAATGGCAGTTATTCGCAATAATATACTTGGCAACATTCCTGTGAACCGCGCTGTACACACAGGGATATCTGGGTTTGTTTGCTCTTGTGGGATCATTCCCCTGGCTTGGCATTACCTGAACAAAACCATCCACATTCCAATATATATGATTGTTATCTACTTTGTCTTGGCTATGATTGGCGGGATCTACTTCCTTTTTTCAGGTTTTAATTTAGTTAAAGAGTGGATAAAGGCTGCAGTACCTGAGCAGGAGGTTGCCCCACCTGAGCAGGAACTCCCACAGGTATGATCAAAAACTCCTTCTCACTTTCGTCTCTTACTATAAATCATCTCCTAGCTATTTGGTGAGAAATAAGTTAGAATGTTTTTTTATTTATTATTTTGGTGAAAAGGTTAGTAGCAGATATAGAGTCTTGTTTACTACTCTTTGTTTCATGCTTATAACTGGTATACGGTATATTTGTTGGTTGCTTGCTCTATTTATTTTGTTGGGTTCTCTTGTTCTTCTCTACTCTGATGTATTTGAGAAACTTCAATTTATTCATTCTAGATATATTCTTTTTATTTGTTGAGTGTACCGTATATTTGTTGCTTGCTTGCTCAATTTATTTTGTTGGTTTCTCTCATCTAAACGGTTGTTCTTCTCTGCTATGATGGATTGTGAAAATGGTATTGGCCATGGTACTTATAACATTTCTTCTTCTTTTTTTTCTCGAATGCAGTTCCCAGGTGCGCCTGAGCCCTGATTTCAAGTTGCTGATGCTGTCATTGTTAGGGGATGTGTCAACTAGCTAGAGGTTTAATTTGCAGAAGTTTAGTTGATGTAGTGTAAGAATGTTTTATTTGCTGAAGTTTAAGCGTAAGAATGTTATATTTGCTGAAGTTTAAGCATAAGAATGTTATATTTACTGAAGTTTAAGCGTTAGAATGTTATATTTGCTGAAGTTTAAGCATAAGAATGTTATATTTACTGAAGTTTAAGCGTAAGAATGTTATATTTGCTGAAGTTTAAGCATAAGAATGTTATATTTACTGAAGTTTAAGCGTTAGAATGTTATATTTGCTGAAGTTTAAGCGTAAGAATGTTTAATTTGCTGAAGTTTAATTAGTGTGCATGGCGTAAGATGTTTTATTTGCTTTAACTTCACAATTTTTTTGGCTGAATGCTTTCTTTAGCTATTACAGTTACATTCTGATGTTACAACTCTTACAATGCATCGTCCGAATTCGTTTGGTTTATTAGTATTAATCTTTCAGACTCTTGAACTTAGTACTAATTAAGTCCTCTGAAACGAACATTTGGCGTATTCCTTTTTCTGTAGTACTACTACTACACGAGAGATTTGCAGCACCGTTGTACCTAGCCAGCGTACCTCTGAATTTGTATTTGGTCTTATCCACGTCTGCTGTTGTTGTCAGGGAAACCAGTACCATGCAGTTGGGATGATCTTTTTTCTTCAAGGTTCGAATTTCATACTAATTTTGATATATTAATAGTAAGATTTTAGGTATTGGTTTTGGTTTATATGACATATACTATTCCGTTTTAATTTATGTGAACTATTTGACTAGTCACAGAGTTCAAGAAAAAAGAGAAAACTTTTAAACTTATGATGTAAAATGAGACACATATATTTTGTGTAGCATAAATTATTATATAAAGGTAAATTTTTTTCAAATATAAAAAATGATTCATTCTTTTTATCACGGACTAAAAATAAAATAGGTTCATAAATTGAAAAGGGTATATAAGGCATCATGCTTTTCCCGAACAATTTGTTAAGAGTATGTGAATTATTAGTTTGTCTAAGATTTAATTTCAAATCTTTTGAACTTGATAAAGATGAATAGACCAATTCAATATAATCAATCTTTACTAAAGTATATATCATGGCACAAAAAATCTCCCCGGCAAATCCTTAATCAGTTTTAGCTGGCCTATCGCCCAACCAAATCTATTATTCTAGTTTCTAAAATCTTCTGCTAGTCGCAAACTAACTCACTGGGAAATATTCAGAAAAAGAAAAATAGAGAAATGTTTCCTCTAAAACTGATTATGTAATAGGGATTGTATTATGTAATAGGATAATAGTCCCTTATACTAGTTTCCTCTCTAGTTTTACCAAGTGCTAGTAAGAGTTGCCTAATTGGGTGGTGAATGAAAATATAATGATGAAATTATACATGGAGTAAGTAACCGAGTTCGTCTTTTTACTGACTTTAATTTTCGGAACTTAGTAGTGCTGAAAAAGTTACTTTAAAGTTGCCACTTACCAATAAATTGGTGATATCCTTTGCGTGTTCAAACCCCCAAAATCGATCTTTGCTGGATAGTGTTATTTCTGTCAAGCTTTGGAATTCAAGCTTAGAAAGCTTCACAGCTACAATGGAGGAATCAGTTAGAAGCTTCCAAAATATCGGCGGAAGAAAGGAGAAACAGAGAGGGAGTCTCTAATTGAGAAAAGTAAAACTCAAACTCAACTATGTCGCAGAGTAGTTCTTATATACAGTGAGCACTGACTGAGCACTAAGCTAATTAACTAATCTGAAAATGACAGCTAATAGACAGCTAATCATTAACTAACAACTAACTAACAGATAACAATAACTGACTAAAGCAACAGTGTTAACTAACTACTGAATAAATACAATTCTAGCACAACCAACTTGCCCTGGACAGTAGCATGTTTGATCCCAGTAAGGGACTTTGTGAGGATGTCAGTGAGTTGATCACCAGTCCTTATGTGCTGAATCAAAATGAGACCTTCCTAGTGCTTGGACCTCACAAAGTGGCAGTCAACTTCAATGTGCATAGTACGCTCGTGAAACACAGGATTTGTGGTAATATGGAGAGTAGATTGACTGTCGCAAAACACAGGAATCGGCAGGACAAGAGGGACAGTCAGCTCTGTAAGCACACGATACATCCAGACAAGCTTACCAACAACTTTCCTGATAGATCTATATTCTGCTTCTGCTGAAGAAAGGGAGATGGTCTCTTGCTTCTTAGATTTTCATCTAATGGGACGGTTGCCCAATAGAACAATATAACCTGACACTGATTTCCTAGAATCAGGGCAGGCAGCCCAATCAGAATCACAATAGGCTTGAACTGAGAAGTCAGCATCATTGGACATGAAGAGTCCCAAAGTAGGATCCTTGAGCAAGTATCTAGGCATGTGATAGGCAGCCTGAAGGTCAGACTTTCTAGGATCTTGCATATATTGTCTCAAGTGTTCTACTCCATAGGCTATATCTAGTCTAGTGTTAGTGAGGAAGTTACTTTCCAACCAACTGTCTGTAAAAAGTAGGATCAGGCAAGGGTGTTCCTTCCTTAGCCTTCAATTTAACTGTGAGATCAAGGGGAGAGGAAAAACTGGTATAGGGTAGGCAATCATAGACTTTAAGGATATCAAGGACAAATTTTCTTTGGGAGATTAAAATCCTACCATCTTTGTAGAGTACTTCAAGTCCCAAGAAGTAGTGCAATCTCCCTAATCTTTGATTTTGAACTGTTTATGTAGAAGTTTTTCAACATATGAATCTCAGGAAGGTCATTCCTTGTCAGTGGGACATCATCTACATAGACTCCCACAAAAACTACACAATCAGTAGTCTTCTTGTAAAATAGAGAGTAACTATGCATGGAATGGCTATAGCCTTTAGAGTATAGGGCTTCAGTAAGCTTAGCATACCACTGTCTGCTGGCTTGCTTCAAGCCATAAAATGATTTGTTCAATCTGCAAACTAGTCCAGGAGAGGAGACTCCAAGACCTTGGGGCAGGTTCATGTAGACCTTCTCATGCAAATCTCCATAAAGGAAAGCATTGTTCACATCCAACTGAAAGAGCTCACGGTTCTTCTTGGCAGCAGTAGCAACTAAGGCTCTAAAAAATAGTCATTTTTACTATTGGAGAAAAGGTTTCTATATAGTCAACTCCTGCCATCTGTGTATATCCTTTCACAACTAATCTATATCTCTCTACACTTTCATCTGTTTTATGTTTGATCTTGTATACCCGCTTGTAGCCTGTGGCTTTCTTTCCAGCAGGTAATGGAACCAATGTCCAGGTGTTATTTGCATGAAGTGCTTCAAATTCTTGTGTCATGGCATGTTGCCAGGCAGGATTGCCTGCTGCTTCTTCATAAGAAAAGGTCTCCCTGTCATTACATATACTTCTCACAACCTGCTGGCTATCAGGACTCAAGACATCCGGAGTAATGTGACTATTTTGGGTAAAAACGGCATTGAGATAGAAAGGTGAGTTAGTCTGAGTGACTTCATCATTCTGAGGTTATTTCAGATTTGGAACAGAACATACATATTTAGACAAGTAAGATGGAACTTTAGATACTCTACTAGATACTCTCTGATTGGGTTTTAGTGTCGAAGGAGATGGCTGATTAATTCTTGAAGTAATTGGAGATGTTGTTTGTGGTGAAGTGGTGTTAGAGATAGGAGATGAGTGTATGGTGTGATTAGGTGACATAGGAATTGGTAAATGCATAGTGTGATTAGGTGACATTGAGATAGGTGTAACAGAAACATCTCTTTAAGGAGTTGTGACACTTTGAGTAGGATAAGAGGGAAATACATTAGAGTGATCATGATGTGTAGCAGTATGAGGCAAGGAAGAATGGGGAACTGACACTGATGGAAGAGAGAAAGGAAAGATGGACTCATGAAAAACAACATCTCTAGATAAACAGATTTTCTTGGTAGTTAGACCTAACACTTTGTACCCCTTGACACCAAAGGATAACCTACAAATACATGTGGAGAAGCCCTTGGCTCAAACTTGTCTCTGTGAGGTTTAAGAATAGTTGGATAGTACAGACAACCAAAACTTCTTAAGTGTGAGTAATTTGGTTTCTTTCCATACAACAATTCAAAAGGACATTTGTTCTTTAAAGCTACAGTGGGAAATTGATTTATGAGAAAAGTTGCTATAAGTACACATTCTCCCCAATACTTCAAAGGAAGTTTGGCTTGAAATAGCAAGGCTCTGGCAGTCTCTAATAGGTATTTATTCTTTTTTTCTACTATGCCATTTTGTTGGGGTGTATAAGGACAGGTTCTTTGGTGTTCAATTCCTTTGGACTGAAAGAATAAGGTGGCTTCACTACTAGTAAATTCCAAACCATTGTGTGATCTGATGCACTTTACACTGGTAGTAAATTGTGTCTCAACCATAGATATGAAACTTCTAAGAGTGTGTAATGCATTTCTTTTACAACTGAGTAGACGAGTCCAAGTGGATCTACTAAAATTATCTACTATAGTAAGAAAGTATTACAATTATCATGAGTGGGTACATGATAAAGGTCCCCACAAATCAACATGTTAGAGGTCAAATATAGCAGTGGTGTTTGTAACTTTAAGGGAAAATAAAGTCTAGTTTGTCTGGCCATAGGGCATGTAGACCAAAGAAAATGTTGTTTTGATGCAAAAGTCACTGGTATATTAGACATTCCTTTCATCTTCCAAAAAGGTATATGCCCAAGTCTATAGTGCCATAACTGATTTGTGTCACTTGCATCAATTGAAAACGAGTCACAATCATAAACCCTATTTATTTTATTCCAGGTGAAAGTATTTACAATAGAAGACGGAGACACAGTATTTACAGTAGAACAAGGGTGGCAGGGATGGGAAGGACACTGAATATTTTTAGGAGGACAAGAATGAGAAAAACAATGTGTTGCACTATCATGACTGTTTCTCATGGAGAAAGAGGAAATTGCACTCTTCTTTGCTACAACAGAACTTCCTTTGTTTAAGTAATCTGAGCAGAGAAGATACAACCTATTATGAACCTTACCAATCTCTAGAGGCCTCTTCAAGAAGGGGCGTGCAGAATACATCATGTGTTAGAGAAAGAAGCTAGACATTTGAGATGTACTGTTAATGAACTGATTGAGATAAGATTGTATTTGAAATAAGGAAAAAATATGACTCTATATAAAACTAATTCAAGTGTAAGAGTCACAGTTCCCACTTGTGTTA